TTTGTTGATAGCGCCCTCTACCGGCTTTATCACGCTTGCCGGGGACCATGGGCGTCGCCAAGATTTTTTCCTAGAGGGGGCAAAGCAAATTTCCCAAAATCCTTGTACTTTCGCTAGCATATTTTCACTGTATCATTTTTCGAGGGTGGGCGGAGGGATATTTTTCCCCCTCCCCGTCCCTCCTGGCGACGCCCATGCCAGGGACTGCAATATGGGAACGAAATACAAATTTAGTATTGGAAATTTTGGAACTTCTCCCAGAAAATTCCTGCCAATATTACCAGGATTGGATTCGATTCATCTTGTTAATGGCACCCTCTACCACCGCCATTGCTTGATCGTGCCTGTTGGGGATTGGCTGCATAAGGGAAACCAAAATACAAGTCCAGCCTTGGACCAAGATTAACACGTCACTAGTGTTTGGAAAGTTTCGCCACTGCCGGGTTGCTGAAAGATTTGCCTTTCTGCTTTGTCTGCAAGGAAATTCTTGCTCTAAATTTGTAGAGCTATATTTGTGCTCACTGTTGAGTGATTTTGTGAATAAACCCAGTTGTGGGATTTTCTTTGGCAATTTCACCAGAATATTTGGAACCTGGTAGAGACATTTTTTGATCAGTGAATAGTATCCTTCCATGGTGAGGCTTTATGCTTTCACTGGAATTTTCCTGTTTAAGTGTACACATTGATTGCATAAATCGCACCTAGTCTTATTGTATAGACATGTGACTTTTTGTATTTGAATTTGGCCCTGATTGAGTTTACATCAGCTGAGATTTGTGTAGCTTTGAAGCTAATTAGGTTTGAATTATGGCCAGAAATGAAGTCTTGGTAAATGTTGTTGTTGATTCTCATAGAGCCTTTATTGATACTATTGTTGGAGCGCTGAAAAGTATCAGTTGTCCAGTGCCTCAGCAAATTCAAGATTTGAAATGTGATTTGGGACAACAGTCTGTTACCACTACTCGACCATCAAAAATACTTAATCGAGTTTGTAAACATTTTGGTTTTGCAGCAGCAACAAATTAATGAGCAGTTAGATGATCTGCAATCCAATATAAATATTCTGCTTGAACTTAGGGCAGAGGAAAAAGCAGGGAACCCACTGGATGAGCCTGCGTATTACCCTCTTGATGAGGTGAATGATTCCAGTACCTTAAACAAACCTCATGGTGATGACTTTGTGATTTTGACAGAGAGTTCTGTTGATGATTGTCAACATTCTTGTTCACCTTGTTTTTGTGATGGAAATTCTGTTTTCAATGATGAGAGTGAGTGCTCATATGTTGAGGATTTTATTTTGGTCCTTGTTCCAAATGCTGATGAGGTTAAAAAAAAAAAAAAAAAAAAATTCTGTAATCCGTAATTCCAGTTCAATCAAGGGAGTGAGTAAAAGTGGATCTTACATTGCTATAAGTCCAAGTTATACCTGTACGAACCCTGTAGTTGGAGCACACATGTTCACCCAAAGTCCAGAGGAGTTTGGATTGAGGCCCTCTGAACGTCGTACGAGAGTTTGGGGTTGCTGGCGAAATGCAATTACCTAATTAATTATCATTGATTATGCTTGACGAACGAGTTGAGTAAAGGGTCTTGGTACTCCTATTGTAGGACATGGTTTGACCAGCCTGGCACCCTGTGTAGTTTGCACCTTTTTCGTGTTTTATCGTCACTATAACAGAGTTGTTGGATTACAGAATATTGCTAAAAAGTATGCTAACGCTTTCCCAAATTTTAGAAGAAGCATTTTGTTTTCTTTATGGTTAAACTGTGTTTGTAAAAGTTGAGCGAGTTTGTATTCTTCTAGCATCTGTTTAGTCACTGCATTTTATACAAAATATATATATCTTTGCTACAGCTTGAATGTAAAGCTTGTATTGATATAGTAAAGACCGATGTGTACCTTCAAATTATGCGTTTTCCACTTGAAGGGAACGGAGAGAAAATTCTGTAGCTTTTCACTTAATTTTTCTTTTGATTACAGATGTGACCACAGGAGCTGGTCCTAGTTAACCTGGAGCAAGGATGCATAGTATTTCAAACTCAAACATACAAATTGTTGAAGATATTTATTATCTCCACTGCTTGTTTTAAAGGTTATTGATTGTAACTAATGTAAACTAATGTACATATCTCCTTGGGTCATTATGATACGTCCCATTCGGGTCGCATGGCATAAAAGCAGGGAAGTTGTGGGAGTCCCGATGTGATAAGACACTGCCGGTGTGTATGGTGTGTTTGTCGTGAGAGCTTTTTTTCTATGACACCGCTATTGCGTACGGAGGGACTTTCCCCAGAGTTGTAACGAGTCACTGAATTTTGTGACTCGAGTCGAGTCGAGTCATTTTAAAGAAGTGCCTCGAGTCGAGTCGAGTCATTTTAAAGAATTGACTCGAGTCGAGTCGAGTCATTAGGTCGAGTCGAGTCGAGTCGAGTCAAATATTTAGCTCGAGTCAATTCGAGTCACGAATATTTAAACACTTTACCAAAATTTATAAAAAGAGGCCAAAAGTTTAGCCAGCGTTCGAATCCAAGAGCTTTATAAGAAATCGCCCAAAACCAATGATGAAACAGCGAATTGGAAAATGTATTTAAAAATCTGGTTCCTGGATAGTATTTTGTGCGTTCTAGAACCATGAGGTGGGAGTCTGTGACACGTTGTTTATTTGTACATGACTGCTATTTGCAAAGTGAAGTGAGCATACATTTTGCACCGTCAGCTATTGCAATACTTTTCGCAAATTTGTGCTTTGAAGACAACTAACACTTTGTCTAGAACCCATGATTATCAAGCTTATGTATACAGGTATAAATATGTAGTAAATAGGCACTACTTATTTTTCGTTTTTGGGGTTTGTTTTTTGGGGTTTTCTATATGACCTAGCATCAGATTCATAATAGACAATGAGAAGTGACTGATTGGTGTCAGACTCCAGCTTCATCCGTGTTTAAGTATATGGACGGACCCCAACCCTAGAATAACAGTAGGGAAGACCACCACATAACAACAGATGGTACACGCATAGTGCTTCATGTAGTCATGTACATGACGTGTGCATAGCAGGCTCGAGATGCCCAGCTATCGCGTGCTGGTTGCTAATTCGCTGTGTATCTGCATTCTTTTCAACCGATTATGCTAGTGCGCATGAACGCCCAGAGGTTTGTGTTTGTTTATAACTTTAAGAAATGTGTTAATGTCAGCAAGTCAAAGTTATTCGAGTCAAATCAAGTCACAAGTCATCGAGTCTCAAGTATTTTTTTTACTACGTCAAGTCAAGTCTCAAGTCAAAAAAATAGCAACTCGAGTCCGACTCGAGTGCGAGTCAGCGACTTGAGTCAACAACACTGAGATTTCGATCGTAAAACTACGATTACGTACAAAAGTACGGTTAACATATATTTTCAACGTTATTCTAGATTAGTTGACCCTCGTCGTCTAACGTCTGACTTTAATTACAAAGATGAAGCAAGACAGCCCTGACCAGCAGGGCAGAGCTAGGATCAAGGCGGAGGAGTACAACCACTCACTCAGCAAACTCGTCAGCACGAAGAGGAGGGTTAAACAAAGTCGTAAGGCGGCATTGATGGCCGCCTTTCCAGTCAAAGCCTCGCCTAGACTCCATCCTGATGAAGAAAGAGCATCCGTCCTGCCACTGAAAGAGGCGTCAATAACTGACCCTGAACACGGCAAAACACCGAATACAGACGAAACGACCAGTAAAGCTGATGTGAACAGGTACTGACGGGGTCAACTGCTCTCAAAAATCTTTATCCACGAAATGTTCCATAAATCCCCATCATATATTAGGCCTGCATGATAGAAGTTTTGTCATTTCTTACCAGGAATAGTGGTTTCTGCTTGACAATTTCATTGTTAATAAAATTGCAATCGTATCTTCATGTATCACCTCCTTTCAATTTTGTTTTGGTTGACCTGTTCCAAGCAGCTTTCAATATGTACCTCAAACCATTTGCAAATATTAATGCGCAAAACACGATATCGTTGTATCAAAAATGTGCAAACAAAATACAACGGGCTGTCAGACGTAGAATGTGTAACCAACATAGGTAATATAGGCATTGGTTGAAAGATGCGCCGTTCCACTTTACAATGAGATATCAAACGTCCAAATCTGATAATTTTTGACAGAGTTAGTGATTTTTCCTAGAAAGATTAAATTGACCAATGACCATGGAACCATTGGTTTTCAATTTTAGGCATAGGGACAAAGTTAGACTAATAACCTCTTTGTGGATAATTGCCTGGCCTACAGAAATGTGTTTTGTGAGTAAACACAATTCTAAACACTTTCTTGCTATCAGTTTGTAAACATGTTCACATGCTTAACATTCTTAGCATGAGGTGATAGCAAGAAAGTGTTTAGAATTGTGTTTACTCGCAAACAAAATAAATAAATTAATTAAAAAAAACTTCTTTGTACGCCAGGCAACACAGAGGTAATTAGGCTACCTTTGTCTCATTGCCTAAAATTGAAAAGTTGGTCCCATGGTCAATTAGACCTCTCTTGGAAAATTACTCATAACACTGTCAAAAACTATCAGATTTTGACGTTAGATGTCTCATTTTAAAGTGGAGAGGTGTATCTTTCTAACCATACCTATATTATTAATATGTTGGTTACTCATTTGACGTCTGGCAATCCATTGTATTTTGATTGCATTTTTTTTTATACACACTGTATAATTAAACGACCTGGTTATTAGAGGTGAATATTTGACATCGTTTCCTTGTACACAAAAGGCGGAAGGGAAAATGTAATAAAAACCCAACAAAAGATAGCCGAATAGAAAACAATGATTGTGAAAGATGTGTTGCTTTATCTCATCCAGGAGATTTTATTGTATTTCCAACTTGCAGTCCCATTGATGTGAGACAGAAATTGCAGGTTTTTGTCCGAGGTCTCCTCTTACCAAAGACATTTTGCCTGCAACTGGATCCGGAGACATCCGTATCTGATTTAAAGGCATTGGTTGAAAGTGAGATAGCATCCAGCCTCAAGATCAACACCTTTACATCGGGAGAAACTTTCAGGTCTTGCTTTTAATTTTACAATAAAAAATTAAAAAATTGATGTCATATTTTAAAAATCAATTTATTTGAGCGTATACCAGTTTAATTATAATTTCCTCAACTGTTTATTGAATTATATACCTTCGCTGTGAAGAGGTGGTATTCCAAAGACCCACATAGTTAACACTTCAATGTTACTCTGCCTCTGTAGACAGTTAAGACCATAACATATGTGACTTCCAAGAACAATGACTTCCAAGGGGGTCAGGTTTATGCGTAAGGGGGTCAATCGCTTTTGAAAAGTGGGGGGGGGGAGGCATAACTAGAAAAGAACTAATGGGAGCGTGGAGTGATAAGCCGTCACGGCTTGGGGTTTGGAGCCCGCTTATCAAGAGGTCCGAAAAAAAGATGCTCTGTGGTGCAATCTGAGGAAATTGATGACCTAGGCTTTTTAACTTTTTCTTAAAGCAAAAACACAAAATTTAAACATCATTCTCTCGTTTTGAGTCATTCAATCAGGTATTCTTAGCTTTGTAATCAATTATAGTCTTCAAACTTTATTCAGGACAAAAAAGTGTTTTTTGGGGAACAATATGATATCCCCCACTTAAAAAGTGGGGGAGGGATATACCCTCCCATGTCCCCACCGTTTGACGCTCATGTTCATGCGCATTGTGGTTTTCTTTAAAAAAGTGTTTTGTGATGTGCTGATCAGCACCCCAGATGTGCACAACCAAAATGACCAAGTACGACCCATGCCCCTGTCAGCCTGGCCAGCTACAATCCTGGCCAAATCTCGCTGGGCCCCCAACCCCCCAGCCCCCGTTCAATGTTGTCTCTCATTGCGCGGTGTGTGCTCCATCCGCTAAGGAGAACAACATTGACTGGGGTAGCGGGGGAGTTGGTGACCGTTGGAGGCTAAGCGTATACATTCCAAGTGTCCCAACCTTTTATACATTGATAGTTTTCTGGAAGTCTCATGATATTTCATTACAATTGGTTTACAGCTTTGTGACCTACTCTCCATTCGCGACCATGGGATACAACAAGACCAGACCATCGAGCTTCGCGCTGGTGGCTTGCTGGGCGGTGGATTAGGTAACTATTGGCACAAGTGGCTGTCTCAAACATCAGTCAAATTGAGTGTTTAACCAAAAATCCCTTTTCAAAACAAAAGGGAAGTTTCTTCAAAATTTCAGCATATCCCTTTGCAAATTTTACATTAAAATAAGTGTTCGCTACGATGCCGGCCCCGCGATCATAGTAGACCTACGAGCACCCAATCTACGTTCTATCATAATCTCGGCTATTTTTGCATCTTTTCCTCTAACTGATTCGCAAAACCAGTGGTTTTCATATTTTTGTTTTGTGTGAGTGGTGGCAACACGTATGACACTGTAAACTGTGCAAGTACGGTGTCTGGTCAACTCGCCCCCTAGCAAATATGCACACTATGACAGTTACGTTAGGGGTCCATACGTATACTTTTGATTCATAACTGCACTGTCACAAAGCGCATGTGCACACCATATACTGCTATCTTTAGAAGTAAATAAGGAGCAGGACGCTTCTAATTCAAAATTTGAAATAAATTGTTAAAATATTATTTATTGTGGCCTGATTTTTTTGTTCGATGTCTCACTGAAATAAGACATAGTAATGTAATGCTAGAAAACTATCAATTCAATTTGAAAATGTGTTTTTTCGGGGTGCCACACCCATAACGCTCGTACCGGTACCAGCTTTAAAAATAATATACATCTGTAGTGATGCCTGTCTGTATAGTGGGTATTACGTCATCACGACTACCCTCTCGGCCAATCAGAATGCTGCATTTAGCCTCATAAGCATAAACCGTGGCAAGTTTGAGGAGCCAGCTGGACTGATCGATATGTTTAGGAGGGGTGTTTATTTGCGTAAGCGAATTTAAAACCAGCGATAACAATAGACAATATTTATGAAATCGTGTAATACAATTATTTGTACGTTTATTGAAATATACAAAACTATTCTATTGTCTAATTAAAGAATTCAACATTCAACAAAAATCCTACAACACCGGTACAAAGCACCAAACTTGGCAGATACAGTAGTCAATATAGGTTTATTAGGATAACTGTTCCATTAAGGAAAAGGTAAATGCAGGCAACTTTATGATTATAACAGTGGTCATTTTGGATCGTTCGTTTAATGCTCATAATTACCCCGTCAGTTACATGCTTTAGAAAATGACATGTACAAATGTAAGTATAAGGATATGTAAGTAGAATCCCAAAAATATACTTGCCATTTTTAGTTTAGAAATATACCTCTTACTGGTGCGCAAAATATGAAAGCCCTTTTCGGAAGGTTGCAGATTGCAGACACCCAAGATCGAACTAAAAATGTTTCTTTTTATTAAAAGAAACGTACAAATTGAAAGATTTTTTTAGATTTTCATTTGCTACTGTAACGAAATGTAAACGGCGCTCCATACTTTTTATATGTTTCGTTTGCCCGCCATAGCTTGTGCGCTATTTTTAGAATGGGGTATATAAGGCAGCGTTCGCGCGCATTCTGGCCAGACTGTTTTGGCGCGCCGTGGAGTGGCAGACTAAGAAAAGCATCGTGAAGACAGAGTGTCGGGGAGTGACCACAAATCTTACCGTGAGTGTTGAGCTGCTGTATTGTTAATGTTACACACTCCTTTTCTTTTATAAATAGTGGTGCAATTGTGGAATTGATCCTTGGGTTTACTTGATTAAGTTAAGCTTAATACTCGTTCGATTGAAGACAGCATATTTGGGTTTATTATTGTCACCTCTGTGCAGGAATTCTCCATTTGCTTTCGTAGTCATACTTGGCAGATCTTTGTGAAGCACTTTTATTGTTGACTATCGATAAGAAAGTCTCTTTACCTTAAGGAAATCCGTTCCCCTAAGGAAACCAATTCCCTTTAAGAAACTTATTTTCCCTTACGGAAACCCTTTCCCTAAAGTAAATCCATTCCCTTAAGAAACCTCCTTTCCCTTACGGAAACCCCTTCCCTTAAGTAAACCCTTTCCCTTGGGAGCCCATTTCCTAACGTATCGGGATCGACAACTGCCTCGCGGGAGACGAAGGGTCGAGCTCATCAGGAGGATCGGCATCTGCCTTCGGGAGACCTCGGAGGGTCGTCTGGAGCCTAGGAAACCCCTTTCCTTGAGAAACTCCCTTTCCCTTAAGGAAATCCCTTCCCTTAAGAAACCCCTTCCCTTAAAGAACTCCCTTAAGGAAACCCCCTTCCTTGAGGAACCCATTTCTAAGGTATTCGGAATGACAACTGCCTCGCAGGAGACGAAGGGTCGAGCTCATCAGGAGGATCGGCATCTGCCTTCGGGAGACCTCGGAGGGTCGTCTGGAGCCTAGGAAACCCCCTTCCTTGAGAAACTCCCTTTCCCTTTAGGAAATCCTTTCCCTGAAGGAAACCCCTTTTCCTTAAGGAAACCCTTCCCCTTAAGGAAACCTCCATCTTTTTAAGTACTTGCCTTTTGTTGAGGCATTTTTAGTAAAGGAACTGCAGTTGTTTCATGGCTGAATAAAGAGACTTCTTGAAGCTTTAGCTTGTGTGTCTGGGTCCCACTTATTGTCTGGTTGGGTAGATTTATCGTTCGAACAAGATAAGGGAAAATTAGTTACGTGCGGCGACAGACAGTCTCCAAACGGATTATCGCCCTAGGACCATCTGGACTGCCGCTCGTCTGGAGGGTTCTCGAGACCGTCACTTCTCGAGAAAATCGAGATCCGCCACACTACCTTACCGCATTTCTCTCTGGTAAGGTTTAGCAGCACCACGCAATCGGCCCCTACATCCCTGAAGGCACATTGGCCTACGAACTTCGAGGCTTTTCAACAAAAGGTGTGCTTTATACCTTGACTGACATTTCGTGGGTGTTTTGAATGTTCAATGGTTTCGTCTGTCAGCAGTTGCAATATTATAAACATAAGTTATGCACAGCAGTCATTATCCAAAATAAATCTTCTTTTTTTGAAAGCATTGAATCACTATTGTATTACTTTTAACTGACGTCAAAGGTATCACAGTGACATAAACTAAATCAGATGGCCGGAGTCAGTGTAAGTTTAACCAGACCTGACAAAGAACAGTACAAACCTTGTACTTGCAATGCCAAGTCAGTACAACCCGCTACTTTCAGAGCGTCTCTCAACTCCTCAGCAGCGTCTGCGGGGTTGTCCTGTTTCTGCCACCAAGTATTTATCATTTTGAAGCTCTGCTGATTAAACTCTCTGCATGCAGTATTCGAATGCGTCGAGTTCTTCGTCCAAGAATCCCATATTGACGGCGAGACTCTTCCACTGTCAGGTTAAACAAGATCAGAAGCCGATCGTACTGTGACCTTTTCAGTTAATACACATGCAAATTGTGGTATGGTACTCACTCACAGATCTATGTAAGTAGTGATGCCCGTCTGTATAGTGGGTATTACGTCATCACGACTACGCTCTCGGCCAACCATAATGCTGCATTTAGCCTCATTAGCATAAACCATGGCAAGTTTGAGGAGCCAGCTGGACTGATCGGTATGTGTAGGAGGGGTGTTTATTTGCGTAGGCGAATTTAAAACCAGCGATAACAATAGACAATATTTATGAAATCGTGTAATAAAAATTATTCGTACGTTTATTGAAATATACGAAACTATTTTATTGTCTAATTGAAAAATTCAATCTTTCGGTAACATTTTAGCAACATATTACCAAGCACATCAGACATCGTTCTGAATGGAACAACACGTAAGATTTGTTGCGAATGACTCATCCCGGTAGTCTACTGTGCAGTTGTACGGACAGTTTGTACGTGTACAGACATGCAAGAGTCTGTTCCGGTCGAGCTTTATCGCTGAAAAAGAATGAGTTGATGTATTTGTAGTAAACAAACACTCACCGGTGAACACACCGCGGTGTACTTGCACGATCATGGAGCAATTAAATAACTCCGTGCTTCTGCACCGATATTGGCCTTGTCATAATCGTGTTATCCAGGTGCAATACCAATTGCACAATTTTCTTCCATATTACCGCCAGAACCATCTATGTACATGTTTATCTGTGTGCGGTGGTACAAACTTTCAGCGTCAGCTCACTCGGTTTGCACAGTATTGTACACGTACATCTGTATTATGGGACTAACTGCATCCTACGCATTGTATATTTACACCGGACCGTGTAAATATACAGTGCGTAGGATGCAGTCAGTCCCATAATACAGATGTATACGTGTACAATAGTAGGCTTTCTCGATTTAGTCAGGCCCAATATGTAATTTCTTTCAAATGTTGTGGGGATTAGCAAAACTATACATTTTTCGGGGCAAGGAATCAATTGCAATTAGTTTAAGTAACCATATAGCGGTCATCTTGGATTTGTTAAATGGCTGTCAAAACCGGTTTTTACAGTGTCTCGGTTTCTAGACAATCTGTGATCTTTTTTTAACGACTAAACCCACCTTATTGGGGGGTTAGGAATCCAGTGGTACCGATAATAAAACACTATTCAAAGGACCACTCGTGGCACAACTGTAGCAGTATACCGGGAAGCTAATGCGTCTGGAGAGCCAATTGCAGCTGCACCTTCGACCATAGGTGCACTGACCTCCTCGCTTATTCAGTCATTTTGTTGCTCATTTCTAATTTCTTTGCTCATTTACTCATAACTAAAATGATTAATATAAGGGAGGGAATGATCCTACTCACTGAGTAAAATGGATAAATGAGTAAATGAGCAGCTGCTCATTTTACTCATGAGTAAAAATGAGTAAATGAGCAGTTATTCATTTTTGAACCTCGCCGTCAATTTGGGATTCTTGGACGAAGAACTCGACGCATTCGAATACGGCATGCAGAGAGTTAAATCAGCAGAGCTTCAAAATGTTAAATACGTGGTAGAAACAGCAGACGCTGCTGAGGAGTTGAGAGACGCTCTGAAAGCAACAGGTCGTACTGACTTGGCATCGCAAGTACACAGTTTGTACTGTTCTTTGTCAGGTCTGGTTAAACTTACACTGACCGGATTTAGTTTATGTCACTGTGATACTTTTGACGTCAGTTAAAAGTAATACAACAGTGATTCAATGCTTTCAAAACAAGAAGAATGTTTTGGATAATGACTGCTGTGCATAGCTTATGTTCATAATATTGCAACTACTGACAGACGAAACCATTGAACATCCAAAACACCCACGAAATGTCAGTCAAGGTATAAAGCACACCTTTTGTTGAAAAGCCTCGAAGTTCGTAGGCCAATGTGCCTTCAGGGATGTAGGGGCCGATTGCGTGGTGCTGCTTAACAGTTAGCAGAGAGGTAAGGTTGCAAATGAAAATCTAAAAAGAATCTTTGATTTTGTACGTTTTGTTTTAATAAAAAGAAACATTTTTAGTTCGATCTTGGGCGTCTGCAATCTGCAACCTTCCGAAAAGGGCTTTCGTATTTTGTACACAAGTGAGAGGTATATTTCTGAAATAAAAATGATTTAAAAGCATTTTTTTTACTCTTAAAGTTAGAATGTCTTTTTTCTGTGCTCTGTCACTGCCTTATGGTCTCTGTGAAAAATGAAGAAGGCTGTCTTGAGCATAATAGCAGCCCCATGAAATTTGGCCGGTATGTTGAAACTTACAGATCAACGTCCTTAGATATTAAATGCTAAGAATTTACTTGATGGTTTACCCAAAATGACCTGCACACCACAATTGTCTGCACAGGCACTGCAGGAACCTCTTTCGACGTTAAACAGTGTGCAGGAGAACTGGCAGCGCATTACCTAGAGACGATGAAAGTGACCACACATCCTACAAAGAGACACATGTCTAGAGAGATGGATGAAATCTACGTCAGCCAAAAGGTAGAAGAAGAGACAAACAGACCAGGTCCTTTCTTCTCATGGGAGGCAAAGAAAAGGGGTATTCCTGATCCCTCAAAATCAAAACCTGATAGGGATAAAGGGTTTCATGTTGAGACATTTTCACTAGACTCATATGAAAATATGCTGGGGTTTAAAACAAATCGATTACTAGTCAGAGCTGAGGCGCGTTGTGGCAAAACCACACTCCTTAAAAGAATTGCTTACGATTGGGCTGATATGAAAACCAAGGGGAATCAAACTGAAGAGCAAAAACAATTTGAGCCTCTATCAGTTTTGGGAAGATACGAGCTCGTCTTTGTGGTCGACGTCAATCGAATGGGTAAGAAATTCGACGTCATCGACGCCATTTTCTCTCAGATACTCACAGACAGCAAACTGAAGAAGAAAGACTTAGAACAATACATCCATGAGCACCCAAAGCGCGTGTTAATTCTTTAGATGGCGATGACAAGATTTAAGGACACACGATGCGCGAACGGATTTGACTTGAACAGTGTACTATCGTTCAAATCACTCTAGTTGGGCAAGGTTATAATTACGAGCCGACAGAGACGGCAAATGAACTGCTGAAAATGCATGCACACTACACAAAAATTAACATGGTGGGCTTTGACGCGAAAGACAGGGAAACTTACGCGAGGAAATACTTGGCAAACTTTGAACCAGATAATCAAAACGGCTTCCTTGAAAAGGTGAATGGATCCAAAACGCTTTGTAGTTTAGCGGAGATACCATTATTTCTGTGGCTGATGTGTCCCACATGGGCAGCTAAAGGGAAACTAGCTGATCATGTAACAGGACTCTTCCAGGATAACGTTCAGCTGCTTTGCAGCATAATGCAGGTAAGGATATAGATGAACAGGTGTCTGCTACAGAGGCTCATGTTTCCCAACTTGGTCGGATAGCTCTCGAAGGGTTGCTAGAGCCAGCTGGGGAGAGGCTTCATTTCATGGAAGAAGAGATCGATTCAAAGGACCTAGATATTTGTGAGAGGGGTTCCGATGTCGGTTTGTTGTCAAAAAGAAAAATATGTCGAGGTTTCAAGAGCGTTTCCTGCTTTTCTTTCCTGCAAAAGACTGTCCAAGAATACTTCGGAGCGACATATCTGGTGGATTTGTCAAGGACTGACAGGAAAGCCTTTGACCAATACTTGTCTCGTATATTTCATGGTGATGTGGAAAGCTTTGAATACGTTCTGAGATTCTGCTGTGGGCTGAGCACAAATGCCGCCGAGGTGATTTTAAGGCGAATTGGAGATCCCTTGAAGCAAAATGAGCTGAACGAATCCTGGCATAGAATTTCCATGATGCTCCTATTTGAAGCTCAGTCAGAACCTCTCATTACAGAATTTCTAGAGATTGGGAAAGTTGCGTTTCCATATCAACTGCAAGGTGAAGTTCTCGTGGCTACAAATTATTTCTTTGAAGTCGGGTACAAACATACATGTCTACACAAGGTCGACATTGAAGAGATTAGTGTTACATGTCGAGGTTTAGGTGACTTTAGACTTTTAGAGGATATAATGACACACATACAATGTAAGCCATCGCTGAACCTTGTACTTCCTAACAACAGCTGGGATAGGTTTGTGGATAACTCCGCATGGATATTGAAATATCTACATGAATTAGTGGTATGTGACTGCGATTTGAACATCGTAAAACTTTTTCAAGTGTTATCAAAAAGGCAACACACAAAGCGTTTTCTTAAGTGGCATCAATTTGCATGATAAACTGTCTGAACAAAACATTGAACCATTACAATCCCTGAAAGAATTTGGGATTCACGACTGTGGTCTGACAAACAGTGACATTGGGCCACTTTTCTTTCTTCTTTCATCAGCAGCTAGGCAGCATAAAGACAGTTGCTCTGAGAGGAAACAATTTGCACGGTTTGTAAATTGTCCTGATCGCTAGTGTCCCTTCCCTTGAAGAATTGCACCTTTATGAAAGTGGTCTGACAGAGAGTGATATTGAGCCACTTTTCTTTCTTCTTTCATCAGCAGACAGCATAAAGACAGTTGTTCTGAGAGGAAACAATTTGCACGGTTTGCAAATTGTCCTGATCGCTAGCGTCCCTTCCCTTAAAGATTTGCACCTATATGAAAGTGGTCTGACAAAGAGTGATATTGAACCACTTTTCTTTCTTCTTTCATCAGCAGGCAGCATAAATACACTTGCTCTCCAAGGAAACAATTTGCATGGTTTGCAAAATGTCACGATCGCTAGTGTCCCTTCCCTTCACGTTGTGGAATTATTAGAGTGCGGTATGCAAAACAGCGATATCAGGGCAATCATCCACTTACTAACTTCTCTTGGTCATGTGATTGGAGTCCGTTTAACGGGCAACAATTTGAATGGTAACTTGGAGGCATTGTCTGCCGTTCCTTCATTGCATGCGTTCATTGTCGGTACTGAGAAGGTGCGTCTTTGCAAAAAGAAGACTTGCGTGATAGTGTAATCCGAAGCTCTTTGATGTTGCACTTTTTTTCCAAACATATGAAATCAGTCAACGTCTTTTTGATGGCAATATTTGTCCCAGTCTTTTCAATCAGTACCAAATGCAAGATACATTACAACTGTCTCTTAAGCTGCAGGAAAGGATCCAGGTTTGGCTAAAGAGAAATGGGGGAGGTGGAAAGAAGGGTGTTTGTAATGGACATGTTATTTTCCATGTTCTTGCTTTTGCTTCAACCCAAGCAGGTGTTCTTAAAACCCTCTACCCCCTCAGTCACAAATTAATGTTACAGGGTCCAGAATTTCGCTTTTGTCTAACAAAGTCTGTGCAAGGTTCAATAATTTACAAGAGTCATTTCACACACACACACACACCCACCCACCCACACACACACACACCCAACCACCCACCCACCCACGGAAGGACAAGGCGGAAACAGTATGCCCCTTCGGCTTCGCCGCAGGGCATAAAAAGTATGGGCAAAACGCTTGTTCAGACGCGTGTCAATGTATCTTAATGGATCTTCCTCTTTAGTCTTTCTCTTCCTCTTCTAACTTTCTCTTTTTTATCACCCCTTTCTCACTTAATCTTCCTCCTCTATCTTATCTTCTTCTTGTGATTTTTCTTCTCCTCCTGTTTCTTCTAACATATCTTTCCTCCTTAATGTATTCATGGTGGGCTTCTCCAGTTTTTTGGACACTGTCTTCTTTTAACTTCTGATGTATTTACCTAAATCCTTTAACTACGTCTTTAAGTTCAACTTCTCACTTCTTCCAATTTTGTCTTTAAACATTTTCCTATTGTTTTGCTCTTCTCCTTTTTTTTTCCTCTAACACTTTTTTTCTCCTAACTTTTCTACTAGCTTTTTCTGCTACACATTTCTTTTCTCATCTTGTTCTTACTTAAACTGCGTCTTCTGTTCATCTCATCTCCCCTTACATCCATCCCATCATCTCATCCCCGTCATCCCATCTCCCCTTACAGCCGACCCTTATCACACCAGTCATGTTTATATTAGAACACACGCAATTGATCTTCCTGTTTTAAACTTGATTTTCCTTCACTAAGATCTTCTTTTTTGGTGCTTGATTTTCCTCTTTTGACTTGATTTTTCTGTTTTAACTTGACTTTCCCCGTCTTGATCCACCTCTTGTTCTTCTAACTTGTTCTTGATCTTCTTAGTGGATCTTCCTCTTCTAACTTGATCTTGATCTTCCTGTTATAACTGGATTTTCTTCGTCTAACTTGATCTTTCACGTTAAACTTGACCTTCAAGTTATAAATTAATCTTCTTCTTCTGACTTGATCTTACTCTTCAAACTTGATGATCATCTTCTGAAAAGGCCTCCCATCTGTCCTTACAGCTGACCCCTACCACCAACTTTTGTAACTTGAAACTAACCGCTCTTCCAACCTGACCTTCATATTATAAATTGGTCTTCTGACTATTTTTCTTGTCTAAATTCATCTTCCTCTTGATGCTTGATTTTCCTCTTCTGACTTGATTTGTGCTTGATTTTCCTCTTCGGAAACGGCCTCCCATCTCCGCTTACAGCCGTCCCTTACCACCACTTGTAACTTGATTTTCCTCTTCTTACTTGATCTTCCTTTTGAGGCTTGATATACCTCTTTTAACTTGATTTTCCTCTCTTCTCACTTGATTTTCGTTGTCTGATTTGATCTTCCTCTTGGGGCTTGATTTTCGTCTTTTGATATGACTTTCTCTTCTGACTTGATTTTACTCTTCTGACTTGATTCGTGCTTGATTTTCCTCTTCTGAAACGGCCTCCCATCTCCCCTTACAGCCGTCTCTTACCACCACTTGTAAGCTGATTTCCTCTTCTTATTTGATTTTACTCCTCCCCTTTTGACTTGATTCGTTTGTCATTTTCCTCTTCTGAAACGGCCTCTCATCTCCCCTTACAGCCATCTCTTACCACCACTTGTAAGTTGATTTCCTCTTCTTATTTGATTTTCCTCTTGTAACTTGATTTTCCTCTTCTACTTTGATTTTACTTTTCTGACTTGATTCGTGCTTGATTTTCCTCTTCTAAAACGGCCTCTCGTCTCCCCTTACAGCCGTACCTTACCACCACTTGTTGTAACTTGATTTCCTCTTCTTACTCTGACGTGATTTTCCACTTCTTACTTGATTTTTCTCTTTTCTGACTTGATTTTCGTTGTCTGATTTGATCTTCCTCTTGGGGCTTGATTTTCCTCTCTTGATATAACTTTCCTCTTTCAACTTGATTTTCCTCTTCTGACTTGATTTGTGCTTGATTTTCTCCTTCTGAAACGGCCTCCCATCTCCCCTAACAGCCTTCCCTTACCACCACTTGCAATTCGATTTTCCTTGTCTAACTTGATGTTGGTCTTGGGGCTTGAATTTCCTCGTCTGACTTGATTTTCCAATTGTAACTTAATGTTCCTCTTAGAAAGTGGTTTTCCTCTTTTAACTTGATTTTC